TACTTTCTAGTATGGCTCATTGATATTTGACTTGTCCTAATAGATAGGTAATGGATGTATTCTTAATAAAGAAATTTATTTTCAGGAAATAGAAGACATGGAATCTCTTGGGCCAGCTCAGAATAAACAGCCCATTATAGTGTGTATTACAAGTTCATTCTATATTAAAGCAGTAAATCACTTAATAACATGCCCAAATCATGCCATGAAGGCATTTGACATTCTATTTAAAACTAATTTTGTATTTAGCGTTCAATATGCACATACATCAACAAATTTTTATAATTTTGTGGCAAGCCTTTTGTATAATGTCAGCAATCCTAGAGCTTGTGGGGACTCTTTAAATACATGATTGAGTATGAATTATTGCATTCTGTACATGCATTACATTTCATATTTTTAATGTCATTTTATTGTCATATTTTCCATTTTTATATATGTATATATATGTACATATATTTCCTAATAAAGAGTTTTTCATGCATTGCTTGTTTTCACTTATATTTAAAATACTTCGTTCATTGAATTAATATAATTCTGCAGTTATGGTAATGATTCCTATTCGGATTTAATCAACAATGAAATACATAATAATTTTCAGCAGAAGAATTATGAAAAATGAATTTTTAGCTTACACATGTGAGCTATAATCCTTATTATTTCACTTTAAAATTTACTTTATTTTTCCCAAATGAGACTTGGAATTAGCATATATAAAAATAAGTTATAGTCTAAAAGTATATGTAAGCATTTATTCACCTGTAATGATTAATGTATGGGAATTTGTATGCATATAACTTCTCAAAAATAGAAAGTGTAACAAGCTAACTGAAGATTTTAGACTTTATTCATAATTTGGGGTAATAATTAATTTTAAGCTCTTCATAATTATGTAATAAGAAATAAAAACATTTCTTTTGCTATATTTTGTGCAATATATGGAGCTAAAAAAATAGCATGAGAGTATTTTATGGTTACTTATTTTCTGAATCTCATACATTGAAAATAAAGCTGAATAGTTTTCATGTAAGGGAAATTAAATTCGCATTTGTTTCTTAGTTCAATGTATATTAAAATTTATTATTCGATTTTTTATGCATATTATGCTCAAGTAGACAAACTACTAGTAACATCAATTCACAAATTGTATTAATATATTCACTTATAAGTAGCATTTTAAGAAGTTAAATCTATCAGATTATGATACAGGTTTACTGACACATATATATATGATCAGCTGTTCTAACACATTCAAATTTTCATTATAAAAATTTGTCAAGAACTATTTTTATAAATTACTTTTCCAACTAGTAAGATTATTTAATGCAAAATTTAGCTTTACAATTTACATGATTACGTGCCCAAATCTTGTGAATAAGCATAATTTGCTTTTTTAAATTAAAATATGTATACAAAATTTAGAATGTATATCAGTATATATATATATATATGATTCATCTAAAATGATTTAATTAAATTTCTTTTATGAAAAATAGCATTTTTTGATTTCTCAAATCAATTTTGAAAATATCTGAAATATTTATTCAAAGTTTTAAGTACCTGAAAAAACCTTATTTTTTATTCAAAAACTAAGTTTTTCATTGCGAATATCTTGCTATTCCAGTTTTTATATATAAGTTTCATTGACGTTCTTATTTTTATTGCTTACTACACATAAAGGTTCTGTAAAATAAAATATATTCTGTGAATTCAAAGTAATTTCACATCAGAAGTACTGTGAGGAAGTGATAGTGTTAAGTATTTCAGAATGTTAACTACACCGAATTTTCAATATTTTAATATGGATGTAATTTTTTATATGTATATTTCGTTAGATTTGGAAAGAAAAACTATATGTCTAAACAATGAAGATATGATTGTCTTTAAACTGTGTTTTTTTATTTCAGTGATGGTCTACTTTGATTCATAATCCAGTTTTATATATAAGTTGCATTGACGTTCTTATTTTTATTGCTTATTAACATAAAGGCAAAAGCATGTTTCTGTAAAATTTAAATATATTCTGTGAGAAAGTGATAGTGTTAAGTATTTCAGAATGTTAACTACACGAATTTCCAATATTTTAATATGGATGTAATTTTTTATATGTATATTTCGTTAGATCTGGAAAGAAATCTCATCACCAATAAATGTTTAAGTAAGTACATAGGTAGCAAATCTAAAACAGATGTATATATCAGATAATTAAAATCACAATAGCATGTTAAAAAGTAGTGTAAATATTTTTTTCAAGAGATAATATTAACCAGATATCTAAAACAATACATCAGCTATAAAGTTTACATAGTAAATACCAATTTTCAGTTGCCTATAAAATAATTATATAAAAAATCACACTATCAAGGAGTGAGCAGACTATTATTATAACTCCTTGTAATGTGTGTGGTTTCACCCGAAATATCGGGCGATATCTGACTATCGAAGAAGAGCGAACGAAGAAAGGGTCACTCCTGTTTTTGTGTGAAAAGGAACCGCTTTTTACTAGAGTGAAATATCGCTCTTTCGAGGTTGGTGCCATTTTGGCATTAGAGGGAGGTGGGATATCACTCCTTTAGAGTCGGATAGGACTCTTTCGAATTTAGAGTGTTCACATCATGCTGATGTCACGAAAGAAGGCGTTTTGTAAACATTAAAATTTCTAATATGAAAAAAAGCATTAAATTCTTCTTGGTTTATATATGGACGTATCCCTCTTATAACCCTTTTACACGATAAGAAAATTCCGGATACCCTCATATAAGACGGCAATATGATTTCATTCCAGGACGTTAATAAATATGCGCAAAATAACTTATAGCATTTTACTTATTTTACATGTTTCGATAATACGATTTTTATTGTAAACATTTACAGCTGGCAATTCGCAATGTGGATATGTTGGAAGTGGACAATATGGGGAAGATTAGCCAAAGAACGTCTATGTTCAATGTCTATTAACAATACATATTCTTTGGATTAGCTGCCTTCACAGTGGCTAGAATCGGCGTCTGTATGATGATCCGTTCAGGCTCGGCAGAGACTGTAAGAAGGGTAATGTCAAGTCTGTATTGGGCTGTGTAGTTTTTACATGTTAAATTTTATAAGACTAGTCCTTGGGGGTTTCGGTCTGCCGGGACTGCTTTTGACATGACAGACCATTACAACGGCCTATGGGCTGCTATACGGTTCGGGTCTGGATGGATCTCGTTGATGGTTGATGTTGATGTAAACGTTTACAAAATGAATCTACGTACTTGTTGCTCATTTATGTATGTAATAATATTAACAACCTATTTATTTATACACACACACACACACACAAAAAAAAAAAAAAAAAAAAAAAAAATCCTAAAATACCCGCATTCTCTAACATTGAAATTATTTTAAAATGGAGCCATGCCCATCACTTACGTAATATGTATCTTGTGCTCCAAGTAATTAATTGGTAGATTGCATGAATTACGTAATTGCGATTTTGGGGGGGGGGAAAGGACAAAATTTTCGAGTATGTGTTACTAATTAGTTTTGTTGTTTTTCGGAGTTCACTACCTGGCAAAACATTTCTGTTGATTACACTTTGTAAATGAAATATACTGACAGACAAATATTAAATTTTCTGACAGACGTTTATTTTAAAATAGTTCCAGCATATATAATTAATCGTTAACGACGAAACCATCTGGTTAGGTTAGATTATTTAACTATGGCAAAGCTTCGAGGGCTATCTGCCTAAGGTAAGGGATGCTTTCGGGGAAGACTTCCTAAAGGAAACTGCCTCGTATACACATTACACATGGGGAAAACCAGGAAAACACCCTTGCAGACAGCCCGTTCGCGGGATTCGAACCGCGGACCGAACTACCAGTGTTTAGCGACTTTACCGCTCGCGAAACCATTTGAAGGGGCAGTGTTAAAATACTGCAAAAAGAAGACTTCCGCGTTGGAAAATTAATTCATCGGTTTCAGAATTATATTAGATTTATGTATTCTCGGGCAAAGGAATTGACTTCCCTGTAACGGTGCAACAAACAGCTTAACGTGAGTGAAAGTATTGCAGCTGACTGGAATTATATGCGATATAATATTAGTAATAAGGGCAATGATAAGCATTCTTAAAAATATTCCAAGGAAACGATATGTGAGTATTATTGATATGTTTATATATTGTGTTGTTTATTTTTACATTCGCGCTGCACGAGCTTGCCGAAATAAAAAAGCAGGTATTCCCGAAAATTATTTTATTATTAGAAGACTCTTATTGCATACTGCACTGGACGGCATAGTACGTAACTTAATTGTATGCTAACGTAACTTAATGTTAAGAATAAAAGTTTTGTTACTGAAATAAGTACGTAGATAAGGTGTTATAAGAAAGTTTAAGCATATTCGTTATGGTGCTAGCTGGTGTTTAAAATTATTCACTCGCCTGTGCCGAATTAAGTTCACGAACAATTGATTTAACATGAAGGCCGTAAAAATTTCTTTGGAATCCCTACATTGCAAAAACCAATAAGAAAACCACTGCTCGGTGTTGTAACTAAAGACACTTTTAATGACCTGCCTTCTGTCAGAACTGAGGCGTAATATATCACGCACAACACCACCTGAAAATAAAATCTGAATTAATCAAAACTGAGCTTACGAACAATGGCGTTAAATCGCACGTGCATTTAAAACTCACGCCTGTAGTTAAAATTTAGGATCTCCCGATTATGAAAACTGATGAGAAAACATTGTTTAACAACGATTTATCACAATGAAAAACGCCTTTAAATTCCTTCCATCAAAATTTTTAACAGCGAGCCATAATGAATCACGTGCATTATAAACACAAACATCAAATCTGAATTAATTCGAATTAAGCTCACGAACAATTAACCTCAAGTACATTAAAGCTCAAGCAGAGTAGCTTCCCTAAGCTCGTGCTTTTTGAAAACTGGATTCCCCCCGACCAATGGGAACGGCCCACGGACGGGTGCCTGCAGCTTGGCGAGCGGCATTCGAAGTGCTGCCGTCAAGCGATGTGTACGTACTATGCTGAGTGCGTCTTGCGAGGCTGTGTCAAGCGATCGACTCTTCTTACCCGCAACCATGGAATATCCTGATCGCTGTATAGGTGGTGACGCTTTGTTGTGTTTTGCAGGGGATGGGCCGTGATGGGGCCCGCCGGCCCCACCATCTCCCCGATTCGAATTCTGGAGCTTCTTGTCTTCATCCATTGCTGGGTTGTTGGTAAGTTTATCCTTTTTGTCCTTTATGTTTAGTAGTAATTTCTTGAGAATTGAATTTGAAAAAAAAAAAGTTTACCGATCATCAAAGTTTTTTAAATTAAATGCTCTTTAGAATATTTAATATGTGATGCTGTATATACATCCCTTAAGCATATAGGTTGGAGTAGGATTGTTGATTTTTTGTTTGTTTATACATGTTGTGTTATTTGAATATGTTACGTACTTACTCAAGACATCGAACAATTTGTTTAGTCTTAAGTGTAGTGCAAGCAGAACAGAAATAAGTTTTATATTCCAGGATCCCAGAACTGAAAATCGGAATATTAACGTATTACATTTGCCTGACTTCCAACTCTTGGCAAAACTGTTCTATTAGACTTCTGTTTTGATCATGTTTGTAGGATTTTTAATCCTAGATCTAACATTTTGTGCATTTTAAATTCGAAAGTGGCCTAAAATGGAATATACTTAGATAGAATGTGATAATGTGAATACGTTCTTTTTAAATCTTGAGATTAGATCGTGAAATTAAATCGCCTGATCGCCTTTGATACCTTTCGTATTATTTTTGCCGGTCCGATGATTTTAATTCTGTTCGAAATATAATAAAATTGAATATTATAATTAGGCGTTTAATATATTACGTTAAATAGCTTTTGAGATTTTAATTAGTTAACGAGTATATTATTTTATCTAGTTAACCTTTTTCAATTAAATAGATCAATATCGATGAAGTCAAACTATCGATCGATCCTGCTTCTCGTATTACTTTGAATAATCTCTTTAATTCGTATTGTAACTAAACATTAATCTTAGGTGGAATATATTATAATTAAGTCTCCAAATATATTATGATCAGCTTTTTAAATCTTAGATCTAAATCTGATCGACTGACAAGCGTGTTTTCACTTATTGAATGTCACGGATTTGAATTCGAAAATTCTGTTTTATAATGTAAATAACTTAAAAATGAATGTCTGATTTGCCGAGCATGAATATCAGCGATCTTTGATTTGCCATTGTTGGAGAAGAATTACGTCCGATTGATTGTGTGAATTAGGTATAATTTGTTTTTTAAAGAAGAGAACTGATTTTATGAAATCAATCGAAAAAGCAAACATTATGGCTTTATTTAAAAGTAATTAGATATGCAGAGATCAATATATTAAATTACGAAATAAGAAACAAAAGCATTGTTCATCGATTTCATGATTTGTGTTTTTATACATTTTTTCTAATCTGCATTTACAATTATTCGATCAAAATTGAAGTAATTTGGGGATAATTAGACGTAAATACAAAATTAAAAATATTGAATTCATCTGGTCTGCGAACTCGAATCAATGTTTTGAACACTAAATATGGAGTGCCAAATGGTGCTAAACGTTGCCAAGAAGTAAAATGAAACTGCGAAAAAAATTCCGCTACTTTTTTCGTACGTGTTTGCAATGACATCGGTAAAGCTAATTTTCAAAACATTTTGGATTAAAATTTGAACGGGATTCAAGTTAAAATTCGAACGATTCAAATGACGGAAAAATATACGAAAATTAAAAGTTTTAGATTCTAAAATACGATTATCCGATCCCTAATTTCTACGAATTTAGTCTTTAAACGTATTTAATTTATTTTAATTCCTATCCTTGGATGAAACAAATATTTTTTACACCTCTAAATTAAATATTTGCCTGTATGAAACGAAAATTGAAAGAAAACATATTCTTTGAATTCTTTCGATAGAAAACTCAACGTAAAGAAAATGTCAAAAAAGGCGGAATAATATTAGTAGTTGGATGTCAGGTAATTTTTCAAGCTGGTCTTTTTATTTCCTTCTGCGAAGTAAAGGAAAAATTTCGGGTATCATATTTCAACGGAAATGGCCGTTTCCGAATCCATATGGCTGACGTCTGTATATACACACAGAATAGCGGACTCTTTTTACCAAAACGGACTCTAAAATGGATTTTTTCGTGACGGCGTCTCGCTTTACTCTAAAACTATCAGCCCCCAAATAGCCGTGGGTTCTGTTCTATCAGTTCTGGTATCTGTTCTTGATTCAGTCCGACATGGGAATATCCTTTAGATCATCAATCCCATTTCAGACATCCTGTTTGCCCCTTCGTATAAAAAAGGTTAGTTTATGACCCACTTTGGGTTCTTTATACCCCTTCCCCCCAAAAAAATATCGCGCATTAAAGGCTAATTTAAACAGTCCTTAAATTTACATACTTCTTAATGACGGGATCTTCTGTTGCGCTTTCGGGTTTTACTGTGAAAGAAGCGGATGAAATGGGAATGGTTCATACTTATCGAGAGTGGCTACGATTATAAAAGCCTCAAGGGGACTAACTGAGCGACGTTTTTTACACTCTCTTGGGGCTGTGAAAACGCAGAATAAGATATAAAGTCAAACAAGGCGATATTTTTCGATCGGGTCGAGTTCCCTAAAGTTGAAATGAGAGTAAAGTTGTGAAAGGAAATTGGAAAAGCGCTGAATTGTCATTAAACCGTCTATCCACATGTTGATATAATTAAATGTAAAGAGATACTAGACAGTTTTTTTTGGGGGGGAGTAGTCTGAAGATGCTTGACAGGTTGGGTTCAATTATATAGTACTTTCAATTATAGAGGGATTTATTAGGATGAAACTCGGTCGCACTTAGAGGGAGGGACATTTGCATGTAGTATTTAAATAAGGATTTGTGTAATAAATTTTAACTTAGATTAGATTTTTACGATGGCACGTTAAAAGATGTAGACCTTTAGTGGGCAGCGCCCGTAAACTAGATTTCAATTTTTCCCACGATACAAACAGATGGGACCGGATGTTTCATCCCGACGTGATGTTAACAAAAGTTCTGGCTCACTGTTCGATAAAACTTTCCCAGCTGTGGCCGTCGCCTTTATGTTAAGAATTAAAGGTACCGGTGTGTTCATGCGACCTTTGAGCCCTTTCCCAAAACATGTAACAGTTTTGTTCCCACTTGAGCCATATCGGGAAATATACTCTCATTTCATTTGCAACACAGTCTGCGTTTTTGTACCCCCTTTTATAAATACAGTAGAACTCCAATTATCCGAATAAAATGGGACCGGACACCATTCGAATAATCAAAATTTCGGATAAATGGATTTTTTCCGAAGAAAGGGTCTACGTACACTTTAATTAATTACTGTATGTACTGTACGTTGAAAATGTGAGAAAATAAACTATTTTTAAAGAAAAAGAGGTTTTAATTAATTAAAATGAAAAGGCAGAACAAAGGTACGTACATGTTATATATAGCGTACTGTACAGTACCTACAAGTGCTGAAAGTCATTGCTGGCTGAATATCTCGGTTAAATTAAGCTCAAAATGTCTTAGCCAGTCGTTACTTGCTTTAAAGGACGAACAACGAAGCTTCTTGAGCTCAGATCTAAGCTTTTTCACAAAGAATCGGACCCGAAATTGTGTTTCCCATAGGACGTTGCTGCAAAATCCACTTGGTAACGACATCTAAATTTTTGTTTGTTGCTGCCTTCATTGATTTTTCTTGAAGAACCGCCATCTTCGTTTTCAAGCACTGACGCGAAGTTTAAAAGTGTAGGTTTGCTCCTTTTAATGTCTGAAATCGTTGATTGTTCAACACTACGTTTCCGTCTTAATTTTTTCTTAAATTCTGAAAGCGATTCTGATAGTCGAAGTTCGGATAGTTGGAGTTGTACTGTATATAAAGTAAGCCAGTGCTTACAATGGTAAAGCACTTTTCTGTTGTGATTTATCTTGTTGGGGTAGGACATAGGAAAACAGTATTTACATAAATATTTTGTCTTTAGTTTTTATTTCGTATTATATTAGTGGGAGTTGTTAGCCTCATTGCACACGTTTCCATCATTTTCCGCGATGGCTGTTAATGCTTTTTGATTTCTTCTAAAACAATTCATTTTATACTTCTGTATTTCAATTTTTACTTACTTAACGTTTCCTACTTTGGACATATACTGACTTTACCTTAAGTTCCGGCCAAGTCAAAGAATATAACGTCACAGGGGGCACACCACTTTGAAAACAGTCAATAATCTTAATTCCCACAGAAAGAAATAAGAGGGGGGGGACTCTGGCTGGTCAACCTGTGTAAAAGTGCTGGCTCCTTTAGGACGCGGCAGAACCCAGATTGCTCAGAGGGAAAGAAAATCTCCTGACAGGTTAAAATTTTCGGAAAGGGGGGGGGATTTCTTGTTACTTGAGCATGCTATCTGAGGCGAAATCTTCTCTCCCTCCCTCCAGGTGTATTGTTGTTAATCGCTATTCGTGGAATTGGCGTGTTTGGGGGAAATTCCACACAGAGAAATGACTGAGGTTTCGTGCACGTTTCTAAGTCGGTCTACACTCAGAAAATGCAGAAATAAACGACGTACTTTATTTTAAAATGAAATTCTTTCTAGCTAAACTTTTCAGTGTTATTTAAAATAAAAATTTATGGTTATGAGTTGGCAGTTGGATATATTTTTTAACACATTTTTGGCAGGCTTCGATTATTCGCATTCCATCGAAAAATTGCCAATTCATTGACGAAAAATTTTTGTTTCGCTCTGTTTTCTTCATTTTTTCATAAGTAATTAAAAAAAAATAAACATTTTTAAGGAACTAGAAATTTTATGAGAAAAGAACAGAAATGGGTGTAGCTGATACATATTCGTGGGTTTACTTTCAAGACTATTATTTTTTTAATGTAATCTGTAATTGGCTCCTTTCTGAAGAAAGTTATTAATAGTTGGGAAAAAAAACTCTTTTGACGATACTTACTACTTACAGTCAATACCCCGTTTAGAAATCCCGGATATTCTTCATTCTGAGACTCTACGGTATATTTATAAAACTTAGGTAAATAATAACTCATTCGAAAATACATTATTAGTTCTTGAAGAAAAAAATATCCGGAAGTTTTCAGATTTTAAAGGCTGCCCAAAAGCGTTTGTTAAAATTTTTTTAACGCTGTCACTCAGCTCGCAGTCTACTT